ACATTCCTGAGCAATTCTCAGAAAGAGAAAGATCCAGAGGCATTGAAAAGCATGGTTTGAGTACTGCTTATGAGCCATGATTATGTATATTTTATATTCTGTTGTTATTGGAAACTGTTCTTGAGACCCTGGAAGCCTGACAGTCTGATGAATGCAGGGAAACGTATTAAAAAGCAATCCAAAATGCGTTTCAGGTGAAATCATTTCTACCAAAGTGCAAACGACTTCATTTATCCTAAAGATATAATTAGAATGGAGAGTGAATTGGTTTTTCTCTTTATATAATATATTACAAATAACTTCCTTATTCTAGCATTGGAATGTGGTTTTCTTTTAAAACTCTCATGGCAGAAAGAGTGCTTCTCCTTCCATGAACCTCTGTACTGTGTATCCACAGCTCTTCAAATGGACTCTCAAAAAAAAATTAAAAAGCAGAAGCACAATAAAGCACACAGGAGGCATTATTTCTCTTGACCTTATCTGCACATGTCAGACAATTAAGACAGTGATGTATTACACGTTACTGTACAAAAAAATTTATTATCAGAGGCAAAATTCAAATTTGCTCTGCTGAGATAAATAGACACATTTCCTCGCTTAGAAAAATTCATTTTTGGTCTGGAAAGTATTAAAATTTCATGTTGAACATATAGACTCAATTTTTACTGAATAACTTAAAGTCATACCATAGAAAACATTTATCTGCTAAACTAATATAAGGTTACTTATTTGGCAAATGCTTTAGAACTCATGTTTACTAAGAGACCAGCAACATTTCAATTCCAAGATCATAAAATATTAGAAAGAAGAAAAATATGCTTCCAAATGGAACATGCTGAGTATATCTAGTCTAACAGTTTTAAGTAAAGAAACACTTTTACTAAGCAAATGTGTTCATTAGGAATAGTCCTATAATGTAATTTTTAATTATTTGATAAATTTAGCCTGGGTGAGACAGCCAAAAGTAAAATCTCAAAGGTAAAATTTATGTTACTGTTTAAGTAACTTAAAATGTGTGAAATCATAATGATAATGTGTTTTCCTTTTACAGCACTTACCTGTTGTCAAAGACTATTAAAATACAAAAGAGAATAAATTATAGCCACGAAAGACTCCATAAATACTAATAGATATCAATATATAGGTGTCATTTAAAAAGCTAACAGAGATCAACATTATGCAATGTTGCAAAAACTAGAATAAAGCATTTGGGAAGAAATCCATTCGAAAAAATAGTTTACACTTGAGAAATGACAGTTTAAAAAAATCTTATTTGAAATAAAATGTAGGACAAAGAATTTCTAATGAGTTCTCACCCAGTAGGTTACATTCTACGTGAGGGTGAGGGCAGGTCTGTCCATAAGAGCAAATCAAATCCCTTGAGCCTTGCAGGGACGATTAGCGGGAAATAAATGCTCTGCACGTTTGAGGCAGGTGTTCTTAACTCCACTATTATATTTTCTACAAAACACTTTGTAGAAACACTTTGCTCTTTCATTTACTTATATGACATAAGAAAAATGTGCGCCATTAGAAGCAAGTTGACCTGTACAGAGGCAAGTCAAAGCAGTTAGCTTAGACCGCGTCTAAGCGCAGCAGGGCCATTAGAGACATAACTTCAAGTAAATTAAGCAGTGTAGTTCATCTATAGTTCTATACAGAGACTGAGGAATTTCTCTGATCCCTTTGATAAGCAGTAGAAAAGTTCAGGCTAACCTAATAACTCTTCCACACTCGGAGACAGGTTCAACCTCATTGTTGTTAGACCCCAGTGAAGTGCTTTACAACCTACCCTCTCTTCATGGCTCATTTTGTGAGTGCTAGTTAATTACTTGTGGTTTAAAGCCCTCACTAATGAAAGGTAGGACTGATGTGATGAAATATTTTTAGAGAGCATATGAAGTAACCTTAGTAATAAACGAGTGATAAGCCAGAAACACACCATTATCACTTATCGGACAAGTCCATAACAATGAACCTGGCAGAGATGTTGGGGAAACAAATATTCAAATCTCCCACAGTCTCTATGGATAGACAGTGTCTCAAGCTTGAGGGAGGCACAGAAGTGATGGATTCACATCATGTAAAGCTTAAGTTTAGAGTTTTGAGGACCCACTATTAAAATAATATAAAAATAAATTATTGTAATTCTATTATACTATTATAATGGATATTAGTAATACATTATAGAAACTAATGGCTTTTAGCCCCCATCTTCTCAATGATCAGTTAGAATTAAAAACATTTCACAGGGTTATCATGTGAAATGATACCCACAGAGTGTCTGGAATTTAATAGAAGGTTGACATTTTTTTAACCTTTCCCTACAATTATTCACTTAAAAAAGTCTGAGCAAACTGAAGCCTTCCTCTTTGTTACTGCATCAGTATTTGAACTAGGAATCACAGAAAAACTAACTCTTAAAGAACTTTTATATTCAGCATAAATTATATACATCAAATATATTGATATAATTATATATTAATTATATACTATGTTCAATGTAAACTTATAAACTTTTATTCAATTATGTTCAATATGAATTATATAAACTGGATAAATTAATATCAATCAAAATGAAATATATTCAATGCCTTTAAAGTGTGGTTTATGAAGTCTATGCAAATATCACAATATGTAAAGTAGTTGAATAACTTTAAAAAACAACTTAAAGTCTTAAAGTATGCAATGAGGTATAAATCCACCCTTAATGTGAGAACCTACTTTTAACAACTCTCTTAAAGCTTTTCCAAAAAGCTTTGTAACTTCTCTTACCAAAACTTTAAAAGAAAATCTCATGAAGTGAAGTTGAAAACAAGGACTGCTACAGTACACATTTATTTGAATTGAATCCATCACAAAATAAAATAAAAATATTTGATTTTAAAACTTGCTAATTAGTTCAAGGCAGTTGGAATTGAGGGCCAATTTTATAGAGAATAAAAAATTGAAATTTCAGCATAGTTCATGAGGATTTGAAGAAATAAATTATTGCCTAAGAATTGCTGAATCTGCTTCAGAGCATAAATGATTTACTTAAAGTCAACAAATAAAGGTAGTATCATTTTGGCAAATATGAGATACCTTTACAAGATGAGGAGGAAGGCAACCCTATAAGGAAACCAGCAGTCTCACCTAACCTGAACCTCCAAAATCTCTCAGACACTGAGTCAACCAGGCAGCATACACCAGCTGATATGAGGCCCCTGACACATATACAGCAAAGGACTGCCGAGTCAGGACTCAGTCAGAGAAAATGCTCCTAACCCTCAAGAGACTGGGGGCTCCAGGGAGTGGGGAGGTCTGGTGGGGTGAGGGGGGAATATCATTGTGAAGACAGGGGGAGGAGGTATGGGATGCAGAATATGCAGAGGATGGACCAGGAAAAGGATAAAGTCTGGAATGTAATAAAAAGTAAGATTAAAATAACAAAAAGAATCTTCCTGAAGATTAGCAACAACCTTAAACTGCACAACACCTTTCTTTTTCCACGGATGAATGAATTCTGTCCCAATTTAGATTCCAATTATTATTGTTTAAATTTCATGGTGTTATTATAATTTGAAGATGGTTTGCATTTCTATAAAATACTATCATTATAAAATCAAACAGTGTGATTTAACCAGAAGTTTCAGAATTAGTAGGGAAATAGTGAGGCTTCATATCTAAAACTTATCAAACTGCCCTTCTACAGCATGATATTCTGCCTCACATTGCCTTCTGTCCAACTGGTTCACGAGTTATTTAGATTTTACATGTGAACACTTTAGATCTGTTTTCTGCCCTCTTCCTTTCACTCTCCACGTGCTCAGTTAAAAACCATCTATTCAACCTTTTCTTGGTTGAATTCTTAAAGTACGTAGCTATTGGTATCAAATAATAATTCAGTCATGATCTCTGAAAAATGAAAATATGCCATGAAAATCCTGGTTTCTCATCATCTGTTCCTTGACTACTGTCTGTGCTATATGTTACAGGAAAGTTCATGAAAATATTTGAGCTACATTCTCCATGCTCCCAGAAGACAATTCTTAAAATATTTAATTAGCATCGAATTTGAAGTAAGCATGATATTGTACGCTTCATTATAACTTATCAATAGCATCTAGTTTGGTGCCGCGTTTCCACAGAAATAATTTTTTTTTCACAATTTAGTCTCCACAGACTTGTACTTTTTACTGAATACTGTTTTCATTTATCTAGATGATATAGCCTTCTGCTTACATTCTGACCATCTGGAGATCTTATCTCTTCCCACTATCAGAAGTAGGTGTTGAAAGTAAAGCAAAATATCACAGTCTTAAGGTTGCATTTAAACTATGTTCAACAACAGATCTGCAATAGGGGAAGTAATCAATATATTAAACTCTGCGTTCCTATACATGACTACTTACAAAGTAAATCGTGATTAATGTGATTGCCCTGTAGTTTGAAATCATACACATTTGAAATATAAATGTCAAGGATAATTTATCAGTTGTGAATGTGTTCAATCATATATTCTGATCTTGTGAAGTCTCTAGCTAATGAGATAGACAGATATAAATCAGAGACACTGCAGTATGTTCATTGCAGACAATCTGTGTTCAGGAATTTAGGCTGTGTCATAACTGAAGCTTTAAAGACATGGATGGCTGTTCTCAAATTCATTTCATTTTCACGAAGAGGTCAAAGATGCAGTGTGGTTTTGTGAAGAATCAAATCACCATGTGTAAAAGTTATTGACAATGGGATGAATTTTAGAAATTCATGGCATACCATTCATTACCTCATAGTATTTTAGTCATATGTATCAGCTGAGTATCAGAAAATCTCATAATAACTCAATTACCCAAAAATCTATAAAACAAAGGGAATTAAGACCCAGCAAAAGTATGTGCTATTGAATTTCAAGAAGCACATCTGCTTCTTGAAGGCTATACATATCAGCCTTCTAAGTTTGAAATCCTTGTCTTGTGGAAACTTCAAGGTCTGTAAGAAAATTAATGAGAAAAATGTGTAAAATTGGGGAAAACATTATATTTACAAGTTACATGAAGATAATAATACCCAAAGTAAAAAAATAATCTAGTATTTTCTAATTAAAACAAAATTTTGTTGTAATCCATATAATAACAAAGGAACTTTTGAGACTAGACCATGGACACTTTCAAAACATTGTTATTTCACGTAGATAATTTGTTTGTAAAACACACAAGAGAGAAAGGTAAAAACTCTAAGTAGAAAATATAATTTTATAGCTACATTTTACAGAATATTCCAAGAGATATCATTGTTTTGTATTATATCGAAAATATTACGTATTTAAACAACTAAAAAGAAACTTTAAAGCCCGGTATAATCTAAACATTGGAAAGGTTCAATAACTGAAAAATGTGTAGCACAAAACTGCCATCTCAACGCCGTTGGTACCACTAGACTGTTGAACGAGGTTTTGTATGAGGTATAAACATTGCACATAATTATACACTGAGGATTTAGATTATAGCTAAACCAGTTGTGTTCAAGGCCACTAAAACACTGAAAGAGAATGCGACTTCTAACAATGGGGAGGAAAGAGAACTAAGACAGCCCCTCAAACTCAAAGTTGGAAGTGAAAAGTACCACCCCCAACTCAAAAGATTTGCAGGACTTCAGGGAACAAAACAAGACACCCATGTCTACCACCTTGGGCAGTTCTGCTCTATGAATGAATTCACCAGTGCTATAATAGATACTTAGGGTCTTCATGGCTGTATGCTAGTTATGAGGGTTATATTTTAAAACTCGCTCACTTTCAGTAAACGACTTAGACCTCAGATTTTCACATTAAGCATGACCATGACACATTCCGACCACACCGTACTTAAAATTCATGTGTTTTAATTGAATGACGTGTTGAAAATTGTAGCTATAAGAAATAAAAACATCAATTGCTTACATGATTAAGGTTCAAATTTAGTTTTTACCGTAATCTATGGATTGGGAAATTGTTTTGTATGTCTACGAACAAAAATAATTCTATGATCTCTATTTTATAAATATTTTTTTCTTCCAACATTGAGTGACAGTCTCTGAACTGCAACATTTGGAAGAGCTGTACATCACAGGAAAACTAAAAAGGGTTACACAATACTCGACTCAATAGAATAGTTGTATAAGGATTTTACAATGTTAAACTTAATATATGTTGACTCTGAAGCAGGGAGCCGGCCTACTGGCCTATTGAGAATCACTGAAATCTAGTTGTGTTTCAGACAGCCATAGATATGGCTATTCAAAATTCCTAGGTAGAACAGGGTTGTTAATTCCCAAAGGCTTTGTATAGCAACACAGCATAAAAGCAACTTTGTGTCTTAAGGGAGGGCACAACTGGCATTAAAGGTCATTAACGCTAATAGACCTGTTGAGGTATGGTTGCTTAATGAAGGATAGGAGCACTGTACACATAAAGATCAACACACAGAGAGAATTTAACTCTGCAGTAGCAAAACTAAGAAAGACAGAGAAGCTATACAGAAACACTTTCTTAGCAGTGATCATTCTAAGTTTACAGAAAATTGTTTTAGGCAGTAAAAATGTCGACTAACACAGTTACAGAAAACAGCAAAAGGATGCCACTGACTTAAGAGAAATTGCAGAGTGGTTAGTTTGCATGTGTATTTTGTTAGAATTCAGCTTCATGTAGTTGAATAGATCTTTCTTCAGGACATAGACAAAAAGAAAGCACTTAAGAAAGCAAGGTATAAAGTAGGAATGTTGAGATAAAGTTCTTGAAGCCTTTTCCAAGTGTCCACACATTTATAAAAAAGTGTTAAATTTCCTTTGATCTGAAGAGATTCTTCAAACAGGTGCATGTACAACATACTATATACATATGGAGCTTCCTTATGTACATAAAGCATATGTACATACTATCTATACATCTTTGCAAGTGTATACACAGCTTCAACTCAAAGAAAATGAGTTAGCAACACAGTAATCATTGCCAGACAATCGAAGTGCTGAGACAATCCACACAGATTGCTTAGAGAGTTGTTGTATCTCTCCTGTTGTCCATGGCTGACTTAGAATATCCTTCTGAAGTTTTTTTTTTTCATTGTAACACTGATTGTCATAGGTAATCTTTGTGCTTCCGCATAATGCCCACTCTGGATATACATAGATAATGTTCACATACAACATTGGACATGTTAAGTAAGCATGCCAGAACACAGGCAGGACCATAGACCCATGCACAGAATATTCTGAATAGGATTTCCCAAACAGACAGCAACATCGACATGCACCACTATCATACGTGGTCCTGAACAGAGGGGATGTACAGCTGGAGTAACCAGGGCAAGCGTCCCTTGCAAGAGTTCCTTTCCAGAGGAATATCCAGTAGAAACACAAATATAGAATAAATGAAACGAGAAAAATTTGCCCCCAACAAATACAAAACCAAATCAAAAAGAAAATCCTCCCTCGTGAGAACACTGACATTCTGGCTAGCCTCCTCATTCCGCAGAAAGAAGATCCTCTGACAAAGTTCTAGGGCGAATGCTCTGTGACAGGTACTAGTGCCTCATGGCTTTTCCCAGCCAGTGGAAAAGCTCATCTTGGTAAAGCCTTTTCCAGCGCACATTGGCTTCCACGGTTTCCACGGCTCGTGAGAAAGAAGCAGACGCCACTCCATCATAGGACTTCATGAAGTTCTTCAGCTGGAAATAGAAAATGAACACGGTGAATCTGCGTGTGTTCATATGAATTATGTAGAACATGCACGGATAAGATGCATCTGAGATGAAGTGTCACATGGACACCTAGGAGAAACTTGAATGGACCCTCTAGCTCCACTTGCTTTGAGTTGCACTTAAAAAGGCATGCTTGTCAAGGGTCCAGTGAGGGCTCGATGCCCCAGTGTGGGGGAATTCGAGGTCGGGGAGGAATGGGTGAGTAACTGGGTGGGGAGACACCTTCACAGAAGCAGGGGAGGGGGAATGAGGTAGGGGTTTTCGAGAGGTGGACTGGGAAAGGGGAAAATATTTGAAATGTAAAGAAAGAAACTATTCAATACAAAAAAAAATAGGCATGCTCATAAATCCTGCTTTCTAGTCTTCCACTGCCTTTGCCAAGTGGAGCTAGTGTCCCTGGCGTGTTGGTTATAATGAACGGCACTACTTTCCTGAGTTACTTTGCAGGAACTGGAAGGCTGCCATCTTTTTAACGGACCGGGTTCACTTGGGCATAAGCAGATGTCTTCTATATGACTTTCTTGATATTTTAGGACCAATATCTGTCCCTCATAGATCATGTTAACACTCGAATTTTCTGAACAGGGATCCTATGAAAAGCTATGACGATTAATTCTGAGTGAACGATATAATACACTGATCACCTTTAATCACTGTTCCTAACTTAAGGCACCTTGCCTTTCTACCCTATCAGTACCCCATATGTACCTACTCATCTGTGCTACAGGAGGGACTGTAGTATCTTCTTCCTGAATGTTTACAATCTGAGACCATTCCAGTGTAGAGAATTTCTAATGAGACCAGCTGAGCCCCTCTCCATTTGCTGTGCCTAATAAACCTGTTGAGGTTGCAGGTGGTGATTGTGATGGAGAATTCCTTAAGATCCCAGCTTCACTGTGAATGTCTCTTTTTGTTATTACTTTGCTATCCCTGGCCAGAGTTCCAGGATTCAAGATACACAGAACACAGTAGACGACACTATAGAAAATTTATCTATTCAAAATAGGTTAGTGGTGTGGCTTCAACAACCAGGTCTAACTATAAATCACATCCACCATAGCAAAGAGTCTTTGCAACTGGCTATAACACTAAAGGGTCATTTTCCCAATTGAATAGAGAAAAGAGCTAGTCATGTTCTGAAAGGAAGCAGTATTGGATGTCAAACTATCTTCAATGTCAAGGGATTGCCAAAGTAACTGAACAGTAGAACACAGCATTGTTGCTACGAGAAATGAGTGATTAATGAACTCACAACCTGATAGATTTAGAGATATTGGATATTTAGGATAAGGAAGGATATAGGTATTTAGAAATATTGAATTATTTAGGAAAAAGAAGAAATGTTGTTTCATTTTGTCAGAGAATTTGAGCACTGAAGTTAAAAATGTTTAAGTGCTCTGCCATGGTTCTTACTGGAAGACGTTTTTGTTTAGAAAGTTAATATATTCTGAGAAGACTCAAGGAATCTGCTTCAAAATGAAACACCAACACCTTCACTTTTTGTTCTGTATGCCTTATGAAACTGGCAACCAACTCACAGCAAACAAAACGACGTTGTGTGGTGTCGTTAGCATGTGGTGCGATCCCTCATAAAGTGGATGCCGCAGGGAGGCTCTGTCAGGAAGGAAATTTGGGGCCTCAAGATAAGATTGGAGCAGGAAGAGCAAAGTGTGTTTGTGTTGAAAATGTAGTTAATTCCACTTCTCCAAATTAATTTGGATTTTTAGTTCATGGATATTTTTGTTTGTTTATGATGATATTATGTGATTACTTGATACTAATGGGGTTTATGGAAGTTTATCATCTGGCAATGTTGGCCAAGGAAAAGTCTATCACAGAACTACGTACTAGAGATGACATTGCGCTGGCTAGTCTTTCATCAGCACACAAACTAGAGTTATCTGAAAGGAGGGAACTTCAATTGAGAAAATACCTCCAAAAGATCCAGCTGTAAGGCATTTTGTCAATTAGTGATTGATGGGGGAGGAGGGCCTGGCCCGTTGTGACTGGTTCTATCCCTGGACTAGTAGGTTCTATAAGAAAACAGGCTAAGCAAGCCAAACACGGCAAGCCAGTAAGTACTACTTCTCCACGGCCTCTGCATCGGCTCATGCCTCCAGGTTCCTGCCCTGTTTGAGTTCATGTCCTGACTTCCTTAGATGAACAGTAATGTGGAAGTATACGCCAAATAAATCCTTTCATCCCCAATTTGCTTTTTGGTCATGGGGTTTCATCACAGCAATAGAAACCCAGACAAAGACAGACATCAAAATCACTGTATTTTAAAACAACCAGAAGATACCTAAGGCATAACTGAGAGTTATTTTATGGTCCTAAAATTAATATAGTTGGCTAAAATTATATATATTTAAAAAGAGCACAAAAGAATTGTTTGAGGGTACTTTTGTACATTTCCAACATTTAGATATTGCTCTATACCAATATATACCATACACAATACTTGTATGCACAGAAAATATTTGGGATAAAGGTTGAAATTCATTAATACATTGATACATTTTCCTTCACATAGATTCACTTAGATTTAGTCTACAACCATTTAGCATCAAAATGTGTTTTATTTAGTTTTGAGTTGTGTGATTTATACAGAACATGTTATTATAGTATATTTAGTTATATATTGACTGTAGACGAAAAATACACACACTTGTTTCTAGGCATTCATTGAACATGCCAGATGATGATAAATGGTCCTTTGGAAACTTTCATTCAGGAAAAGATGCTCTAAGTCTCTTCATGCAAAAGCTGAACACATGAAGAAAATGCCAAGCCCGAGGCTTAAACATGATCTATCACTGACACAATGACAGAAAGTCAGATTATCATGTAAGACAACGTAACTAGCGGATCTCTAGAGTTTCATTTCTCAAATTATGATTGAAGTACCCTAAATACCTTCCTTGAGAGCTCAGCTATCGAGAGATGACTCACACATTGGAAGTGGAGCTTATTCATCAGAACGCATCTGGCAGACTTTCCATAGTTGCCATAAATTGGTCTGTGGCCTGTATTTCTCAGCTCTGCTTACGGAAAATGCGTTTTTTTCAGAGCCTCCTCACAGGTCCCTGAGGAGACTGTGGTGTCTGGCAAATCTCGCTTCCCTGTGTGGTCTCAGCATCAACTAAGGCTTTTAGCATTCTACCCTGCTTAGTTCTCAGGCTCTTTGAGAGAATTTCTGCCACCATTATGTTTGATCTTAATTGGGCTTTGATACATTTATCTATGATGCTTTTATTATGAGCAGGCTTAGACACTTTTGTAAAATACAATTTAGTAAAATGGCAGTGTTGTTCCTGCAGTGTGATTTCCTTAGGACAGAATTTCTAGGTGTATTTATTAATCTTTCTTTTAAAAACCTGTTTAATATTGAGAAATATCTTATTTGTCCTTCCATTCATTCCAATGTATCGTTATTATCCTTGACTCCAGCAACATAACTTGATTTGAAGTGAACCCCAAAACATAATATAATCTCGATAACTATGGAACTCAATAGAATTAGCTATTGACCTATTATGAGGTAAAGGACTTTCCATTCAAGTAATAAATGGAGTCTCTGTAATGTTCTTCTACAGCAGGTTTGTGTGTTAAGTTCACAGAAGAACCCAGCACATGAGAAAAGTGCTCAGGAGACAATAAGTGAAACATGACAAAGGTCTCTGGGGCTTCATGGGGTTGTGCTTCTGCTAATTTGAAATTAAGGAAAGGATGGATTGCCTCATGAAGGAATATCAGTCAAATTGCAATGGTGGAGAAGCATCCTCTCAGAGAGGGAGGGGAGTAGAAACACAGTGAGCAATTGTGGGAGGGGGGCTTGGAGAAGACAAAGGCTAGATTATACATAAGTAAATAAATTTTTTAAAATAAAAAAAATAAGTAAACTCTAGTCCTAGGTGCTAGAACAGTTTGAGGGAAGGAACCATAAAACAGAGTGTCTTTCTACTTAATCTTGCTGAAGCTGAGAATAGTAATTGGAATATTAAATTATTTTTTCAGGGGACTAGAGAGATGGCTCAGGTATTGAGGGAATATTGTTCTCTCTGTGGCCCAAACGGGTTCCCATCACCTCCTTCAGTCAGCACAAATAGCCTGTGACTTTTTCTCAAAAGGCTCTAAAACGTCCTTTCTGGCCTCTTAGGTGCACCTGAACTCGGATGCACATACCCACATACGGACAGACACAAATCATATAAGTAAACATTTTAAAAATTAGAAACAGCTTTATAATTCACAAAGGTGCTAATTCCCTTCAGATAAGTCTTCCTTCAAAGGGAAGACATTGATCTTGCTTAACAGTTTCTGCTTCAGGAAGGGGTTATTGGCAACAAAAACTAAGCCCCATCCTACTTGAAAATAATATTCCCTGTTCCTGCAGAAGACGCTTAGGTGGTAAAAGTGTGGAAAGCCTGGAGCAGAACCGTTAAACTAGAAAGCAAGCAAGTCCACAGCAAAAGCAGCCCATTGCTCATTCCACCGAAACCCTGCATTGTTGAGTGCTTTGAAGATAATGGAATAAAAGCCACAGTTTAGTCTCATTTTGAAAATCACAACTTTCATGATCGGGGTAGTTTAGAAAATTTTAATGGCAATTAATTAAGAGATAAAAATTAAATACAAAAGGGAAATGGACAAAATCCGAAGGTTTGCATGTGAAAATTTTAACTAAGTTTTAACTTAAGACAAGGGTTTGGTGACCTTTCCATTAGCAAAATAGGGAATACATGAGCAGTAGAGAAGGAAAAGAGGGAGGAAGATGAAAGGGAGCAGGGAGGGACTCCACGTCTGTGTTCGCGTCAATGTTCGAAGGGATGTGTGGCTAAATCAATACCTTATTTTTTGGTCACTGAATATTAAGTCATAATATTTAAAGCACTCAGTTTAAAAGGTAGAAACAATGAAAGCAATAATAAACTGTGCCTGCCTCCTGTTTCATGTAGACACATAAAAGTTCTCTTCTGTTAGCTTCGTTGATAAATACAAAGACATAAAAAGTAATGAAAACATTGCAGGATTTCAAAGCTAAACCTTCAGAGTTGAGGACACACTTAGCAGGTGTGAAGACTGACTTTTAAGTCACTAGAATCAGAGCCGTAGCTCAGCACAGTGTCTCTGTGACAAATCCAAGCAGAGTAAATGGAGCTGCTCTCGGGAAGCTGAGAACTATTGGATAGTGAGATGGGTGCTTGGTACAGTGCTTGTAACAGATTGTCCCTCAACAGGAACATCTGTGGGTCACAGCTTCCAACCTATCTTCTGTGATAACCAATAAATCTAAGAATCTGTGTTAAAGATTAGCTGTGTGCTGTGGAAAGCAGAAGGGGGAAAGGCTGCATCAATTATCATGATCAAGTAAAAGAATATTTTGCTACTTTTTTCCTGCTTGATTGTCCCCATTTCATATCCCTCTCCAGTACAGACAAGAGCTAGTGGAGGGAAAGGAGACGCCTAGATACCTCACACATTGAGAGATATGACAGGAAAAGGAAAAGATAGATATTCTAGAACTTGGACACAAGTTCATTAAAAAAAATCGAGCTTATTTTCATTAATAAAATTAACTTGTGATGGAACCAAGCTATCCATCTTAGGCAAACTATTACTTTTGATGTATGTTACCAGCTGTGTTCCTTCCTTATGAATATGATTTTATTCAATTTAGTAGGCTGAATAGCAGGCTATTGTGTTTATATAAGCAACGAGGCTTTTTACTGTGTACCTCAGCATCAAGCACGGTCTCTTTTGCACACGTAGTCATTAGCACAGCTATTGGTGGATGATTTATAAACTGAGTTCACAGAATCATTTGAGGAGAAGATGCCAGTTTGAAGATCTCTGGAATGACCGGTCCCAAACTATGGAATTTATTACATTTGAACATTTTCTCAGCCCTCTGCATTGCTCATAATCATTCGACACTTGGTATAGTAAAGATTTCTTTGCAGGTAATAGGGTAAGGAGGGGTGTGTGTGTGTGTGTGTGTGTGTGTGTGTGTGTGTGTGTTTGCATGCATGTATGCATATATGAAAACATGCAAATATGTGTGTAGGGGGGATGTGTATGTGAGTAGCAGTGTAAAAGAAACTCGTATGTATCTAATGCAAAGAAGTCAAAGTAAATCTGTAATTTTATGTTTATATAAGAAAACTGTAACAAGATTTTTACCTCTTTAAGTTCACCTTCTGTATTAAGAAATTCTGTAACTCCACTGATAAGTTTGGAATTCATAAATAATGCTTCTCCATACCTACAAAGATAAAAGAAAAAGTCTTAATGTCTACCTAGGTATTAATGTAAGCAATCTTTTTATAATTTTTTTGGAGTCTTTCCCAGGGTTTGCATTTGCCAGAGCAATCAGTGATCACGAGCTCTCAGAGCAGTGCTGGTCAATCTTTTCAACATCAAAAAATGCAAAGAAGCATTTCTTGCCATGGGGTGCTATCAGATCCAGCTGACCTGCTGCACAGTGCTTCAGAGAAGTCTGACTCTTAGTGAGCTTGTCAAAATTCCAGGCTCCTAGAATTAAGGTATAGCTGCTCTGTTTGTAAGCCAATACCCAAGAAAGGGACAGTTTTATATTTTTGAGTACACAGAAATATTGATCATTGTAAGAGAATCGTCTCCCAAGAAGTGAAAAAAGGCAGGAGCAGCTCAGGCAAGACCAGCAATGGCACACAGATTCTGTGTTCTACCTAGTCATAGTAGATATTGGAATTCTAATTAAGTTGTAGAAACCAAGGCAAACTTCACAAAAAGAATATCAGTTGCTCATATAGTTATTAAAGTATCTAGTTATTGTATGTAGTTGTTATATTATATGTTATATTATATAATTCTTACAGTATGGACACAATGTATCTCTAAGCATGAAGGCTCTCGTATTAATCTACCTCTACTCTGCTATGACATTTATTCTAGTTTTTACACTCTTAGAACCAAACTAACCAACAGTAAGACAGGTTTTGGGAGCATGGGCCCAGCCATATTTACTTGATACTTTCCTTCGCTTTCCAAATTGTGAGATTGTTAGTACTTTAGCTGCTGATGGAGTTAGTTTTCTATCATCTGAAAGAGGGACTCAAATGGGAGGATCACCATGACGAGAAAGGTATCTTTGTCAAAGCGAATAGATGGACGTTCAAGACTATAAACTACTAGGTACCATGGCATAAACCTGCAATCTGAGCCTTCAGGAGACAGAGACAAGGGGAGTGCAGCAAGCGTGAGCATAGACTGGTCCACTCTGAGATAGAGTGAGTGAGTGGAGGAAGGGCTATGATTACGTGGTGGTACTGTCTCAAAGAGATAAGCAACCAATCACTTCAATGATAATACAAGGAAATAAATTGTGCTCAGAAAAGTGACTCTCCAGGTTAGACAAAAACAAACACAAAAACACAAAAACACTTCCTTCTCTCAGAGGTCCAATTGTTTTCGTTTACACTGTCAGGCAAGGAAGAGTAAGGCATAATCTCTACCTTTGATTTTATACAGCCATGTCAAGAGATAATTCCCATGTAATATAACTAGATGTAGTATTGGTGAAATGATACATAGAATTGAGAAGGTCAACAGCTCTGTACTTTAGGGGATGCATCTAAACTGAGTACAGGGTTGTCCTGAGAAAGAAACGCCAGGCAGAAATCTGACATAAACAAAGGCAAGGAAGCATGAAACCACATGGTAAGGGAAGAGCCCTTTAATTAATTTGCATCAGAGGACATATATACTGTGAGGCTGAACCAGATGAAAATTGCTAAGAGGTAAACAAAATATATATCATGAAGCTTTTGTGTTCAGTGTGGCACAGAGTCATGGGAAATTTTATAGAGGAGAGTTATCAATGCTTCTGAGAAGGTTCTGATGCTAATGAAAAGACACATGCATCTACATAGCAGTTAGTCTGTGTACAGAGGCAGAAAGATCAGAGACTGCTATAAGACTACTGAAGAAAAAAAAAGAGAAAAACAAACGTGCTAAAGAAGTGGTACTAGTCAGGCCTCTATCCCCGTCTTCGCAAGTTTAGAATTGCCACAACCCTTCTAAACTTAGAGAAGGGAGGAGATGTCAGGGGCAGCCCTGCTTACACACTGAAGGCCTAAAATCAACCATAGGCCTAAAATTAGCAATAGGCCTGTCATACATGTATACTAACACCAAGTCTTGGGTCTCAGTGGAAAAACATTGAAACAGATGGCTATAAGCTAATGTAAACAGGCAGCTTTTGTGGAAATTTACAAGCCTGAGTAGTCATAGACCTTGTAAATAGGTAGCCTTGGCAGACAATACCAACTTAGATAAGGAAAAGCAAGTCATAGACAGAGTCATAGTGACTTGTCCCCTGAACCTTCACCCAACTGATACCTGGTTCTGAAGATATCTGTATTCCCCCTGAACACCCACACTCCATTGTCATTCCCTTCCTCACATCCTGTCTTTCTGTGTTTATAACCCCTGTGTGAATGAATTATGATTTGAGAAAAAATAAATTATAAAAAAATAAATAAATAAACATGCAAATTTCTAAATTCAAAAAAAAAGAAGAAGTGGTACTAGCAATAGTAAGGGAGCCTTCAAGAAACATTTAAGACAATTGAGAGGATCTATTATTATATACCGTGAAGGGAAAGAAGAGGTATTTATAGACTTTCAGTTGTGTGGCTTGAGCAATTGGTGCATAGTTATCTGAGGAAAGAATTTCTTACTAAGGAACAAAAGACAAGTAAAAGAATATACACATATATAGGTTTAGTTTTTAGGTGTACGCCAATAGGAGACACCAGGGGTAATGACTGTTCTACTACATGGTGATATCCGATGAAAAGTGTGGGTTAGAGAAATTCTTCTGAGAGCAACAGAAGCCATGAGAACACATGATAACTAAAACCAGAAGGAACCTGAAAGTGAGAATATAGTGTCCCAGACAGCTCTTCCCATGATCCCTAACATCAAGAACTGATAGGAAAATAGGAGCTGATAGTAGCACTCTTCCTGGTGAAAATACACATACATGTATTTGTACACCAAAATCTCAGTCTCTTTCCTTTGAATGGTGGCCATAGGTTGTCAGAGACAAAAGAAGCATGCTGAGGGTAAGAGGAAATAAATGATGTACGTGCACACATGGGTTTCATTGAGATCCAGTCGATAAAACTAAAGAAATGGCTGGTCTGTGATTTGAAATCCTTTAAACTGATATACTCATATATATTAGTTTCACCTTACCGCTGGTTACGTGACTCATTATAAACACAACTGCTCTCATCTTCTGAGTTTGCTATCATTCTAAGATATGAACTTAAAAACACGAAAATGTCAACACACCTTATAACTACATCCGTGGTTTCGGACAATAAAGTAAATAGAAATAGAAATGATGGTAACTGTGACAAGTTCATTCTAATGAACTTAAGGATAACTGATGAAGGAGTGAAAAAACTCACAAGAGTTTTTATATCTGCTTTTAAGAGACCGAATGTTAGGTCTGCTTACTATCAGGGAAAATTTATGTTGAAGAGTAACATGCAGCATTTACATGCTCCATAATAGATTTAATTTAAAATACCACAGAGATTATCAGAGCCATAAATTAGCATTTATTATAATATATTTCAATGTTTAATGAAATATTTTCTAAAATTGAAGCAGAAGAATTCTCACCACAAAGCAAGATATCCTGGGAATTAATTCCACTGCAGCTGGAATAATACAATGATTTACGTGATAAATGTGTCTTCTCTGTGTCACTATCTTATTTAGGTGTTTGATGATATTCACGTTTAAGGAGAATTTAGAATAATTCAGCAGGAGTAAAGTTTCTTGTTGGAATAGCATTGATACGTGACTTGTGGATTTTTTAAACAATACATACAGAATATATAAGTTTAATGGAAGGACTTTGACTTTATGCAGTTGGGTGAATTTCCAAGCAAAGTTGCCTGGTTGAACATGTCTCACTCTATCTATGCATTCCCATTAAATAAAGTTATCAATCTTTATTACACGAGGGATGAGAGAGAACTGTTAAAAGTTGTGAATTTCAAGGAACGGCAACAGCCATCTTTGCTAAATATTTTAAAGTCTAAAATTTTCATTGGGTTCATAGCCCTGAAAAAAAAATGCTCCTTTCTCTGTCGCTCAAACGTTGGCTTTCATCCCTTCATCCGGGCATGAAGAGGTTATCATTTCTACCTGGTATTTAGTATTTTCCATTTGTCTCTGAAAAACTTCCAGGCAAGGTCTCGGCCATGTGGATTTCTGGCTACGTGGATTATTACGTCAATTGCATCTTGATCCAACACTACCTCAGAATTCAGAGACAGATTTAGAAGCCTGTAAGGATAAAAGTGTGGGGAAATAAAACATTTTTATAATCTTAATTGTTTTTTTAAAAAACAGTCACAATTTAGTGTTCTTCTTCAAAAATACTTGAATTAAATCTTGCCCAGTGAACAATTACAGAATAATTTCTGTTTAGAAAATGGAGATAAAATTCATAGCATTTTTCATGAAATACATTAATTAAACTCCAAGAATATCTATGAGATGGGAAAAAAAATCACAAATCTTACTTGTCGACACAACTATGCTCTCAAATTCTTCATGCTAAATGTTTGCTCTAACAATGAAATATTTTCTTAAGCCCATATAAAACTTAATAAAATAATTAGTCATAAACAATGTTATCTTTCAAGTCAAGTTGTTTTAGTCCTGACACTGTGTAGGTAGGGTTCCTTATCTTTAGAAAGATTTGTTTTATAGTAACCAATTTCACAAGACCGTATATTTGAGGAAACAAAATAACTCTGGAGCAGTTTGACTGTAGATGATAAGTTCATTACAAAAATAACTTGGATAATTTAATGGACTCACCTACTTAATAAATTCCTGTCATCGCTGCAAGTTAGAGCCTCGAGCAATATCTTTTTCTCGGAAACTGCTGTGGTGGAGTGGAATTTCATCCAGATGAACTCCCAGACATCCTCGTCCAGCAGTGAGACTCCTGTGCAGTAGACGATGTCTCTAACATTTAGTGGTATTCTAGAGAAGCAACCCACGGTGGTTTTCTATTAATCAAAAGCTTTATGGTTTGAAAATAAAGAACTACTTTGCTTTCCTAGAGCCAGCTATTAATAAGATGATTTGTCAATTGTATTTCTCCTAAATGAATATATTATTGTATTGCAATAATACTCATACATATTTGTGACTAGAATATAAAATAATGTCTTTCATTCCAAAAGGTTTTGAGTTCAGCTTTTGTTTATATTCATGAAATTATCATTAAACAAGCTAAAAACATCGTTAGAGAAACAAAAATGAAATTCTTTATATTTTCAGTAATATTAATCTAACCCTATCTGAAAGTTTGCTTTCATAATTTGTGCACTCAGGAAATGAAAACAAAGGTAGAGGATGGCAAGTTTATTTGAATAAAACAGAACCATTTTATTCTAAATTCTTTTTAAAATTTTTATTAAGAAAAGTAATATGGATGTGTAAAGGCCTGAATATAAGTAACTGTATCCAGTTTGTGCAAGAGCCTGGAGAGATCAGAAGAGGGCATCAGATCCCCTGGAACTGGAATTACAGGTTGTGTAACCTGAGCAGGTTTCCTCAGATGGAATCAGAGTCAAGTCTTCTATAAGAACAGTAAGCACATTTAATTATTTTAACCATCTATCCAGCCCAAAGAAACTTTCATGGGGCCAGTAGAATGGGTTAAATCTTGGTGCTATTATTTCCATACTTTAACCAACTGAGCTAACTGACCACCCTTAATTTTTGATTGTGTTATTATCTAGAAGTAATTTCTTCCAACGTTAAAGTACAGAGGATCATAAATTTAATGACAAGCAATAAGACACTACTAACAAAGACCTTTTCCTTTATGTTTATACAGTATTAAAAAAGAATAGCAAACTATTAATATGACTCTGAAATAAAATTTAGAGTGAGAAAAATTAGCATGAATTTAGCCAAGCTTGGCAACTCATAAATTATAAATTTGTAAGTCAACTTTCGCACAGTGGTATTCCACAGTGTATCACATTTCCGGGCTCTTTAAAATATTTGTCTTGAGAACTATTCAAAAGACTTTTTAAAGTTGAAAAGAATATATTTCTCTTTTACAATATTCATTAGTCTATTAGTTACATTTCCCATTAATAATTTGAATGTGACTATACAGATTGTCTTCTCTAAGTCGCCTGAAGGAACAATGTTTTTTTTTTCTTTTAAAGATCCAGAACTTTTATTGTAAAACACTATTATAGGAAAGCAGAAGCAAACTCTGAGAGGAACAGACTCATTTTCAGTGGCTAAGAAGGACTGCTGGCAGAAGAGCAAACCATTTCCCTCAGCAGTGTTAGCAGGATAACATTGGTTCATCTGTTAAAAGGCAGAGGAGGGGTTGAAGGAGGAGGATAGAAGTACAGTCCCACAACATCAGAGAGCTCCCCAGCTCTCTGTGAAGGGAACACAGTTTAACATCTATGTGTCATGGTATTCTTTTCTCTATTTTTTTTTGTACTTTTACACATATCTTAGTATGGATGCTGGTTATGTAACTATGGAAGCCCTAAGTCATTGAACTCTCATCTCATCTTCTCTTCGTCTTTTCCTCATCCTGCATCCCACATAGAAATGATCAACCACAGTCTTCCCTTGTTAAGAGTTGGTGGCGCAGATATCTTCCAGCTCTGTTTATGATCAGCTTGCCATACTGCATACTTAAATTTACTAATGAGATTAGTGTTAGTATATTTAAAAGAAAAGACTCATTCTTGATAGCCATAGTCTAAGATCACCCAGATATTGTCAATAAATTGGCATTTATTTAAAAAGGCTGGGTTTTCTCCTAGAACTACTATGAAATAGAGAAGCCAACACTGCATTCCTGTATGACTATGGTCAACATTTTGACAGAGAACTTTGCAAGCAAATCCGAAAAAGTCTAGCATTTCTGCTGAAATCACAAACTCATCAAACAATGTCAGATACATTACTATAGTTTACTTTCCAAGAGAAATCACTTAAGCTATTGACAGATCAAAGAGAAGGTGAGAACACAGCCCAATGTCTTAAGATTTCCATGGCTGCACAACCAGCATCCATATTAAGAATTCTGTGTATAAAAGTACAAAAAAATAGAGGTAAAAATAAGCATATGCCTTAAACTATATTCCCTAGAAATTCTATGAATACTACAACCATTTGTAAAGGCTCTTTCATTTATTATCTAGAGGAAATTACATGCGTTAAGCTTCACAAATGAACACACGGTTCGGTCATGACAACATCTTACAGACTTTCTAAAGAAGCATCAGAGGCCAAAAATAGTATTTTGTGGAACGCCATGTTCTGAGCTATTCTTTTTGTAATCTGGGTCTGAATTATTAATTTTGTCTGCCTCATATCTGTGTCATCAACTACTTTTTATAAAAGAAGGGACTCTGGGCTGATAAAGGCTATTTTCTATTATAAAAAAGAAACATTGTTACTTATAAACTTTTTATATGTATGTCTCCTCTGCCCTGTCATCTCAGAGATGAGTGACACCAATGATTACAATGTATCTTTGTGTAAATCTCTTGGGAATCTTTGTATCTTGTATTCTTAGACTTCTTGGACATAAATGTGTCTTTCAGACAGCTTTCTGGTCATTTCCCTCTGCCTTTGTCTCATACACTTGTACAGTGTTCATGTTAGTCTTCTTGATAGCATTCTGAAAGTCACTTAAACTTTCTTCACTTTTTCCCATTACTGTAAGGTTTCTCCTCTATGATAATTATTTCTAGTGATATGTCTTTGATTTGCTGACACTTATGCTTGCTTCTATCTGCTGGTGAAATCACAAGTGGATTTTAGTTCAGCTGTTCATTTCCATGCCCTGCTGGTACTTTTAACCCTTTTAATCTTTGTTGAAATTCTTACCTTTTTCTTTTATTTTCTCTTAGCTTGAGCGAACATACTAACAACAGCAATTTTGCATTAACAAGTAAACAGTCAATTTCATTAGGAAGGATTTCTAGATGTGTCTTCTTGTTTCTTCATTTTCTGCCTTTGTTTTCTGTGTGGATCTGCACATCGTTCTATTTCTCCAAGAAATGAACATCGTACAAGAGAAGACGACTACAAACCAGCCTAACTGGATTCTGGAAGGCCTCTACCAACTAGTTCCTTCTCAGACAGCTGTGGCTTTTGTCTGCTTACTCTCTGCTGAACTAGGAGAGCAACTCTGACGTCTAAGTGTCTAACCCATTGTCTCAATTCTCCACTAGGTGTCTTAATCACACTAGATGCATTAGAAGTCCATATCTAGAAAGCCAGATACTCTCTTAGGAGGCAGATCTGGCAAGACTGGGGCATTATGTAGACAGGTTAATGTTTCTCCCAAAAAGAACTTAACAGTTGGAATCCTCATCCTCTCTGGTATGTACTGAACATTAGGATGTATCTTCTGTACCTTCTAGTACAAAGCTGTCTCTGACTTCTCAGGTGGCTAATCTTGGTCAGATCAGTCAGAACTCCAAGACTAGTGAAGCAGATCACCCCAAGAACAGCACATCTTTTAAAAGTGCACCATCATGTGTTCCTGAGCCTAATTAACTGCTGAGAGATTTTCATGCCAGCATGATCAACATGTAACCCTCTGAGAGTTTATCTGCACATGGATGTTGCCTCTAACATCCATTTCAATGTTACATTTTAAGCTTTGTTTAGAATGTCATCTTTTCAGAAATACTGGGTGTTAGCAAGCCTGGGTTTCTAAAAAAAAAACAAAAACAACAAAACCATTATGCTTACTAGCATTGTCATGATACACAGTCAACACAGCCTTTAAGTGTCTGAAAAAGACATAATTAGCAGTGATCTAAGGATCTGCCCTATAGCAAAATTGCCATCCACAGAACAATGAAAAGAAACCTCAAAAACAAATCCAGGTTTAAAAGTTTAGATACAATGGTCACTATGCTGAAGAACTATAACTTGAGGGTCCTAGGCAGCCCTTTGAAAGGAAAGCTACATAGAATGGGAGAAAATTCTACATAGAAATCTGCAGCTGTAAATCAAGATAAATGCAGCATAATATGGATATGATTTGCAAAATACTGCCTGTCTACTTTCAGTTCAGTTGCAAGCTGTCTGTCCCTGTGTACACAGTACACGCATCAAACTTGATGAGGAAGAATATGAAACACATACGTTTGAATAGATCATCTAAAGCATGAAAAATTATCTTCAGTCTTGGGAACAAATGCCCAAGTCTCAGGAAAGGATTGGCTCAATTAGCAGATACCAGGAGATATCATTGCACGCATCTCCTCCAAGAATGAAGGCAGGCCTGATTAGTCCAAGAATGCTGATTTTCCTAGCAACTCTTCCACCTCATCAGTTCCTCGATTCCATAGCCCTTCATCAGACAAAGAATCAATGTATAGTTCACAAGATCATTTTTACTCATTACTGAAAATAAAACAAGATTGGTAAGAACTGGATATGCCAGGGGCCCTCAATTCCCAATGACTTCCATGGTTAATGAACCCCCCCTCCTTTGTTTCTAAATTTGTAAAGATGTTCTAATAACATTTTCACAAAATGATTGCTCTGGGGACAGTTTAAGATCTCTTTGTATAAACCAAAGTCATTAGGAATAAATGAAAAAGCTCATTTGTTTGTAAAGCATTAGCTAAGAAACCCACAGAACCCATAGTTATGAATGGTACAAATGAGCCCTATGAGACACTGGATATCAGGATTACAGGGATCAAGGGCCCCTTCGTAGTGAACATGAAAATTGTTTATGAAGATGTGAATGTCCCCATGGTCATTTCGTTTTAACTGCTGCCTCGGAAGTAAATCTTTTAATAGGGTTTCATCCGCTGGAAGGAAAGCTGTGTTTGACTTTAGGTATTGTATACAAGCACTGACATTGAGCGAACCATGCCTGGTAACCTGCATGGAAGATGAATGGAGTAATGCTTACCTAAAACAAAATGCTTTTATCTTCTTTAGAGTAGTAACCTTGCAGAAAGTAT